CAACCTGGTTGTGCCCGGGTAATATCTTCTCTAGTCCCTGGGAATGCTAGCCCCAACGAGATGGTGGGCTCCTTGTCCAGGTTAAATTAACATACATGCTTAATCTTATCATATACCCCTTGAAGAAAGGAAACCACCCTTTCTCTTGCACAGAACTGTAGGATATGGGAGGGGGTGTAAGGGCTCAGGACAAAGCAGAGGATGAAGAGAGAGAGGAGGCCAGCACACTAACTGTTGTCTCTTTTTCCTTCTTCCTTACTGGGCTAGTGTCTGACGCTACATACAGATATAGAGAATCTCAAGGAACGAGTAGGTATGGTGGGGCCCAGGGCAGAGACAGGGGCAGGAGCAAGAAGAGATGCCTGGATGCTTTTGTACTTGGGGCAGGGCTTTCTACATGTCCAGATAGCATTACAAAGATTAACATTCCCCTTGGAGAAGAAACCAAGGAGGCTTTTCCTTCAGCCTTCTGTGTCTTGACTGCTGGGTCATGCCTCAAAAAGCAGTGTATTGTCAAAACTCAGCATGGATTCTGGCAACCAGTACCAGAGTTCTTCTCTCATGGCCTTTAGAGATACCTCCTTTATTTTCTTTATAAGTGTTGGCTGGAGTGCCTTCTCTGGTATTTATTATGTCTTATTTGCCTTTAACTGAATATTTCTGTCATGCCAAAGCCTTGAGAAATCCTAGTTCAATTGTTTACGTATGGAAGAAATTTCAATTTTGAATTCTAGTGATGGGTGGGATCAGTCCCAAAGCTCTTTGACACTAGCTAAGGGAGTCAATTGGCGGGGGGGGGGGGGTTATAAGTTCCCTTGGGGACATCAAGGAGCAAGACAGTGGCATTCCAAATGTGGGAATACTCACTTATGCTTTTCCGTTTTAGAGGCCATTCAGTCCCTCACTGAGAAGTTCCAGTCGCTGGGAGGTAAGTGTTACTCCAACTTTCCACTTCTCAACATTTGAAGAGAGTCTCAGGCTGGCCTCAATTCTTCTTGGTTTCACAGAATGAACACACCATCTTCAAGAGATACAGCTAGTACCTGTAGTCCAGAGTTGTCACCCACCTTCTTCAGTTGAGTTCTTCTTCATCCAGTTTGTCCTTTTGACCCCTTGTTTAAGCCCTACAACCCCAGTTCATAACAGCTTTAAATTAAAATGCATTTTGTTTTCCATGGTCTCCTCTCCTCTCTGTCTCTTTCTGGGTCTCTCTCTCTGTGTATGTGTCTCGCTCTGTCTCTGTCTCTGTCTCTCTCTCTCTCTCACACACACACACACAGATGCACACGAGAAGGGTAGGGAGTTGTCCAATCTCAGAGTAGTGAAGGGAGAGTACCACTGGCATTGTAGGGGAAGGCTTTTTTTCCTAGGGGTTTCCAAGCCTACTTCTGAGCCAGGAGTCCTACATTCACATTTACTTTGGTTTCCTCAATCTGAGTTCTGGATGGATTGTTGTGACCAAACTAACTTACTGCCCTCTGCTAACACCCTTCTTTCCAGGAGCTGAAAAGCCTCTTTCCGAGCTCCAGCCCCACCTGCATCTCCTACTTGTTTTTGTTGTCCTGCTTCTCCCCTCGCAGCCTTCTTTTCTGTCCTCAGCAACACTGATCTCTCCCATGGCTCTCTACTGGTATCTCTCCCATAGAATCATTACAGCAGGTACTGTGTGGGTGCAGTTCTGCTCCATTTTTCACTTTAGAACTAGCTCTTTCTCTGCACTCAACATCTACTCATGCTGGCACCACACTGATACACTAAAGTTAGTTAGAATTGTTCATTGTCTTCATTTCCTGCTGAGCTCTCATCTTGGAAATTCATACTTGCTGATTTTGTATCCCATATCCTAAGAGACCCTGATAACATTACATTTAGTGGCTGTGCATCAGGAATATGTAGAAATATGGGAGGAATCAACTGTGGGTGTTTGGAACAGAAAAAAGTAGACGTTAGTCTCTGGATTGGAGATAGAGACAAGTCTCTCCTAACACCACCGGGCAAACTTGGGTGAAATTGTCCAGCAGCCAGAATAGACGGCAAACGAACAGTACTGCCACATTCACCAAGTGCTGAACCACCAACCAGACCTTCTGCAGACAATTCACTCCATGGCCCTAAGTTAAAAAGTGTCAGTCATTATGTAATGATTCATGCTTATGTGCATGAATGGTCCAATCCATGTACTTGTTCACATTTAGCTGTGTATCCTAGCTCAATTTTTTTAGACTGCCTCCAGTGACGACAGTACATTCTCCCTCTCTCTCTCTCTCTCTCTCT